CCATACAAAATGAGCACCTAGGAAAAAAAGGCCATATGCAGATAATGAAGAACCATAAGACTGAATTACTTAATATCAAGTGGGGTCGGTGACCCATATAAGACAACTCTATGAGGCAAATCTCATGATTTGACAGAAAAACATTCAATCCATCTTTCTTATACACTTCACTTTGTTAAAAAATTTCAACTTTTTATCAATGTGGGACAACTAAAATTCATCAACAATTCATCATTTGAGAATACTCAATTCCCATGGTGCCACCTCAATACCTCATGGTTTTCTTTTATATATACTAGAAGGGTACACGTGAAATGCAGCGAGATACATATTGATTTTAATATTTCATTCTATTATTTATCTCAGTGGATGTTATAATATGGTTTTGTATGATTTTGAAAAAGCGATGATGTTTTTATTTTTCAATAAAATATAAATTTAAAGATATCATAAAAATTTGATAAAAATATATCAATATTAGTATCAAATTAACTATTTAAAATTCCTATTTTTTATGTAATTTTTTAATTCAATTTTTTTATTATAATTTAATTTAGGTTCAATAACAAACTAATTTATATTTGGTTTAATAATATAATTTTCTTATAAAGATAATAATTAATTATTTTGTTAGAACTCGATAATAATCCTAATCATATATTAGATTTTCTATATTTTAAAATGAGATGTTTATCTTCTATTTGATTATGTTTATCCGCAGTTAGTTACACGAATTCAAACATGGAGCTTTAACAAGTTGTACTTATGCATAATTTACTTGTAATATTGAATTTTAAGTAATGTGCATTAATATACAGTATTTCATGCATAAAAAATGATTTTTAAGAGTTTTTATCAAATGCTTTATAATATAGTATAAATAAAGATAAATATTTTTTTAATTTGGTTGGCCAAAATGAACCAGCCCTATGAGTTTGGAGGGTTAGCCAACATGAGCCGACAATATAAGTTTGTAAGATCAGCGAAAAGAATCAAACTCCATGAGTTAAAACAAAGACACTTCAACCTCCTATTATATACCTACCATCAATTGTCAATCTTTCATCTCTCCACCAATGCAAGATACAAACCTAATGCTAGAAATATAGAATACTTAAATCTTAGAGTTCCACATCATTTCTTGTGGATCTTACTTTCATACACACACACACACACACACACACACACACACACATATATATATATATATATATATATATGTATATATTGATGATTGTGAACACAATTTACTTTTATATAATTTTTTTTTTGCAAAAGGGAGTCATCCAAATACGATAAGCTTATGAATCAAGTTTTTTGAGTTGACACAATGAATTTCATCCCTTTTTTTTTTTTTTTTCATATACACATCTCTTTTATTCTAATCTTTCAATCTCTCATCAAAATAGGATATGTCAAACTCAACCACAATTAACCAATACTTCAATATATAAAAACATAATTACCTCATGATGCACCTAATTACCTCTTGATTCTTCTTTACACAAAAACACACACACACACACACATATATATATATATATATATATATAGATATATATTGATGATTGTAAACACAATACATTTTTTATTTTTATATAATAAGATTTGTTTTGCAAAATTAGGGTCATCCAAATAAGATAACTTTATGACTCAAGTCTCATGAGCTAACACAATATAAGATTTGTTTTGCAAAAATAAGGTAATCCAAATAAGATAACCTTATGATTCAAAACTCATGAGTTGGCACAATAAATCTCACCATTATTTCTTATACACATCTTATTATTCCAATCTTTCAATCTCTCACCAATGTGGGATATCTCAAATTCAACCACATTTCACCAACACCTCAATACTCAATTCTCATGATGCCACCTCAATACTCTTGGTTCTTCTTTTAATATATATATATATATATATATATATAGATTATCATTTTTATTATATTAATTTTAGAAAAAAAAATCATCAAAATAAGAAATACATTAAATGTTCCATTTTTACATAGAAACAAAAATTATGTGAAAGAATTTCATCAAGAAAAAAATTATATGAAACAGTTTCATCAAGAAAAAAAAATTATATGGAAAAATTCATCAGATAAAAATTTCATTAAATTAAATAATGAAATCAAAGGATGAAGATGATTTGTACGGTTTGTACAAATGAATTGTTTGCATTTGATCAATCCCTTACATAGATATACATGAATTATATATATAGAGACATGTTTAAACCAGAATACTAACTATTTTAAAAAACAAGAAAAAAATCGTTAACGTACAAAATCATACATGATTCACACACACACACACACATAGACATAGGTTCATACAAGAATGATATCTATTTTAGAAAATAAGAGAATGACTAAATTACGTACAAAATCACATATGATTTTACATTAATGGCAAAAAAAAGTGTGCATGCGACCTATGGCCATGTCAAATACAGGCCTCAGCTGCTAATTTTCGTTTTATCACTCGATTTCGAATACATTAGATTTGCATTAAATGCTACATAATATGAAGTTGAGTATGATTATGATGTTGAGAATGAGTCAAAGTGAAGTCATACATACGCTTGTCGGATTCAAGAAAACTCCCGGTATGCAGCGAGAATCTAGTCTAGTTTACTTGATGGGTAGTATTTGAAACGCTAGACAATAGGGAAAAAAAAAAGGATAATACGTGTAACAATGCAGTAGGACCGTCTTAAAAGTTAGAAACCGTGAAAAGAGTTTATATGTGTTGTTTAATCTCGTGATATGTAATCTTCATACAATGTTGTTTCATATATGAATGTGAAAATGCAGTAAGACTATTTTTTCCATACACAAAATAGTTGTGAACGTTTTTATATAAATCAACATTGTATAAAACTATATTTTAATATGGGTTGTTTCATATAGGGGTGTTCATGGGTTGTGTTGATCGGGTTGAAGACATTTGATCAACTCAACCCAATGCTTGCTGTTTAACCCAACCCAACCCAAACGAAAGTGCAACCTAACCCAACCCAACCCAAATCGTATGGGTTGGTCGGGTTGGTTGGGTTGATACTTTGGTACATTAAAATATTCTTCTAACCTTAAATATGTTATATCTCTACTCATAATTTATTTTTCATCATCAACTATTGATACAACTTATCCATATTTCTTACGTATATCACATTCAGTTAATTTTCTCAATTTACATATATATGTTTAAAATTACTGAACATATATACGAATGAGTTATATAGAGATGTGAATAGATTGAAAAGATGTGTATATGAAGAGTGTACGTGATAGTGTTATTGTCTAATGCATATATTAATAGAAATTCAACAATCATATTAAATCCAAGAAATAAAAGGATACCAGGTTCATCGGGTTGGGTTGAGTTCAAATAATAGTAACCCAATATCAACCCAATACCTACGGTTTAAAAAATTTACAACTCGATTAGACATTAGATTGCTTCGGATTAAGTTATTTCGCTTTGGATTGGATTGGGTTGGGTTCATCAGGTTAATTGGGTTTTTGAACACCCCTAATTTCATATGTTGGTTTGTAAGTTTGTATTCATCTCCTTGTCCCCTTGTGAGCCTTATCGGTCTTGTTTCCTTTGTTCCCTTTTTGTTTTTTAGTTGTTTACTTTTACCTTGCAGTTTTTTTTTTTTTTTTAATATAATATTTTTTTGATAGTGATATAAATTTTAGATTAATTATAGAATTCAATGGATTTACTTTCTATCATCCTTTCAGAAGTTGAGTAAACACGAAAACCTGTTCAACGGCGACGTTTTGAACCTTTACTTTTTCCACCGAGGCCAGCTTCTTTGTTTGAAAGAGTACGTTCTACGTGCACGACCCAATTTTTAGGATTCCGTTGACTGCCCAATCATTTATCATCTATTGGACTTTGGGTTTCACCTGCGTCCAATTTATTACCATATATCATTTAATTTTGATTTATGTTTTGGAGCATTTGTGGACTCATGACGTCTCGTTTAGGGATACTCATGAATTGGGTTAATCGGATTAAAGACATTTGAATAATCTAATCTAATGTTTGCGGTTTGGAAAATATTAATTCATCCCAACCCAACCCATACGGGTTGGTCGGGTTGATACTTTGGTATATTAAAATATTCTTCTAACCTTGAATATGTTATTTCTCTACTCATAATTTCTTTTTTATCATCAACCATTTGATACAACTCATCCATATTTCTTACATATATCACAATTAATTTTCTCAATTTACATATATATGTTCACAGTTACTGAACATATATACGAATAAGTTATATAGAGATGTGAATATATGTGTGTATGAAAAACATATATGATAGTGTAATACTTTAATTGTCTAATGTATATATTAATACAAATTCAACAATCATATTAAATCCAAGAAATAAAAAGATATCGGGTTCATCGAGTTGGGTTGGGTTGAATTCAAATAATAGTAACACAATATCAACCCAATGCCTATGGGGTTGACAATTTTACAACTCGATTAGACATCGGGTTGCTTTGGGTTAAGTTATTTCGCGTTGGGTTAGATTGATCGGGTTGTTTGGGTTTTTGTTCACCTGTTCTAACTTATTTTCAAAGAACAAATCACCCACTGCAACTGGTTGATTACTCTTACAACTTTTCAAATCTATTGCACACTGAGTAATCTATAAGTGATTTATCTGATATGTACATGTACATAGAAATGAAAGAAACATTTTTCGAGTTTATTAATCTTTCTCTCTCTCTCTCTCTCTCTCTATATATATATATATATATATATTGCTTGGATTTTGGACTTTTGGGTGTGGTATCACAATCATGCCCTCCATTTTTGAACACATTTTGAACAACCATATATTAATTTGTCAACCAATAATTCATATATATCCAACCTGAACCATTCAGCTTTGTTGATTAATTTCACTACCCTTCTCATCAAACCACTAAACCATTTGCATTTCATGATCACTTTACTGATTAAACATCCATGAAGAAATCATCACAAATTTCTATTTATCTTTTCATCCTTTTACTACTTATACCATCCAAATCACAGGGAGATCCCAGATCCCACATCATTAACTTAGCTTGTTACCACCAGCTCATAAACAATCAAACCATATCCATTCCCAACTTTCTCGATACCATGACGAAAGTCGGCACCCAGCTACGGAGTTCACACAGCGGAACATCGGTTACGGGCACTTCACCCGACAGCATCTACGGACTTGCCGAATGCTACGGCGATCTTTCTGCAGAAGACTGTGTCTTATGCTATGCGGAAGCCCGTACTGTTCTTCCCACTTGCTTTCCCGCCAATGGCGGCCGGATTTTCCTCGATGGTTGCTTCATGCGAATACAGAATTACAGTTTTTATGAGGAGTATGTAGGATCAGATGATAGAGTTTATTGTGGGGATACGATGATGGGCGGTGGATTTCAGGACTCGGTGAGGAATGCAGTCTCGAATGCTGTGATGGATGCACCAAGAAACAGCGATTACTTTGCGCAAGAGTTGGCAGTATCGGGGACGGCAAACGAGTCGGCCTTCGTGCTGGCGGATTGCTGGAACACTTTGAATGAGGATTCTTGTACCGAATGTTTGGAAAGAGCGTCTGCGTCGATCTTACAATGTTTGCCATATTCCGAGGGACGGGCACTCTACACCGGATGTTTTCTGAGGTATTCTAACACCAATTTCCTCAACCCTGAGCCATCACAGGGCAACAATGGAGGTAACCTCAAGATTTTCTTTTGATAAGGCAGCATTTGGTGTTAATACATTTTTATGGTCATCCTTACCGAAATTCTATCTGCACATGAATCAGATTGGAATGCCAAAAGCCAAATCATCCAGTTGATTTGTGAAGATCATGAAGATAACAATCGAACCAGATTCGTTTCCAGCTTTCTCAAGGCAATGACAGATATCAACACCCAAATGCAAACTTCACATACTGGAACACTAGTTACAGGCACCAACTATGTGCTTGCACACTGCTATGGTGATCTTTCTTCACAAGAATGCATCTTATGCTGTGCCGAAGCTCGCACTTCCCTTCCTTCATGCTTGCCCAACAATGGCGGCCGAGTCTATCTCGAGGGCTGCTTTATGCGGTTCGAGAATTATAGCTTTTTTGGGGAGCATTTTGGACAAAAAGACAGAACTATGTGTCTAAATACAACAAGAAAAAACAACGAGTTTGAACAATTGGCATCAAATGCTGTGTTGCAAGCAGTGGAAACTGCACCGAATAACCCGAACCACCATGCCGGAACTCAGGCTCTTATATCTGGGATAGCAAACAGGTCGGCATATGCAACCGCTGATTGCTGGAGCTCGTTAGATGCCGAGTCTTGTCGGCAGTGTTTGCAGACCGCGGCTAGGTCGATGTTAGGGTGCTTGCCTGGCTCAAGGGGGTATGCATTATATACTGGTTGCTTCATGAGATATTCGGACACCAACTTCTCTAATCCTGATAACAACACGAGACGGTCTACAGGTGGCTCGAAAAGTATGATACTACAGTTGCTGTTATGTTTTACACTTGTTTGATAGATCTAAAGTAATAGAGCTCATGGTTTACTAGTCGATCGATCATTTCTGCTCCTGTTTATGGCATTTGCAGGGAAAACGATGGCTATTGTAATGGCCGTTAGCTCGGTGGTAGCATTCGTAGTTGTGGGTATTATCGCTTTTTGCGCAAAGAAGCACAGAAGTAAATCTAAAAGAAGACAAGGTATAAAGCTTCATTCTTTCTTCGAATTCGATCTTTCTGAAAGATCCCACCGGTCCACCACCCGATCGGATAGCCAATCTCGTAATCCCAAGTGACGATACAATCTTTCAAATTCAGACTATGTTTGACAAACTAGATGATAAACTAATCATATTTGGTAAACCCAACTGTTAATAAGCTATATGATAGCGTAAAATGATTTAAAAGGACATGTTAATCAGTTGATGGAAGTTATGATACATCCTGAATTTGTTGATATTTTTAGGTTCTGATGACACAAATTTGTTGAATATCCTGAATAGCAGTAGCTTGAACTTCAAATACTCCATGATTGAGAAAGCCACGAGTTCTTTCGATGAGGCCAACAAGCTTGGACAAGGGGGTTTTGGAACAGTATACAAGGTATCATAGAGTTGGGTTCACGTGAGACCAGTTTGTTTTTATGAATACCGAAACTTCACAGCAATTTATAGAGTTGGGTTCACGTGAGACCAGTCTGTTTTTATGAATACCGAAACTTCACAGCAATTTATTGTAAAAATACAAAAAACAGTGAACCTTCACAGAAAAATCACCGTGAAGCTTTTCTTTTACGGTCTTTTACTGTGAAGGTTCCGTGTTATTTATGTGGTCTCACGAAAACAGTCCGGTCTCACATCATCCTAAGTCACGTATCATAACCATATCATACAACTTTCTTTTATTCCTATCTTTTTGGAGTTTTCTAGTTTATATCGTATTAGATTAATCAAACAACATTAGAACACGACACAATGATCTTTATCGCAGGGAGTTCTTCCAAACGGAGTAGAGATTGCTGCCAAGAGACTTTTCGTCAACCACCAACATAGAGCAGGGGACTTCTACAATGAAGTCAACATTATTAGTAGTGTTGAACACAAAAATCTGGTGAAACTGGTAGGATTCAGTTGTTTGGGACCTGAAAGTGTTCTCATTTACGAATATCTACCAAACCGGAGTCTCGATCATTTCATCTTCGGTAAGAATAATGATTTCCAAATTCCGCAAACTCAAGTTAACCCTGAGGGCCAGCAGTTCGACTCTCCATAGGACCACTGGGATTTTCTTGTCATCTTTAGGCCCTATGAGATTTGCCACCGGAGATTTTCATGGTTGTTATCTTTGGTCACCATAAAAAAAATTGGCTTTATAAGACGCCTAAATTGTCTAAGCGTCCTAATAAAATACTTTATAAAACTTAGATTTATAAGACCAAACTATAAAGCGTCATACCAAAAAAGGTTACAATAGATTTATATGACACTTTTAGACGTCGTTTAACAAGTTTTTTTAGGATGTTTTTAAAATAAAATGTCCTATTAGTTACATTATAAGATACTTTTGAGAATTATCCTATAAACCTGTCTTTTTAGGACAATTTTTCAAACAGTGTCATATAATATAGTTAATACGACACTTTATTTTAAAAACATCCTAAAAAACTTGTTGAAACGATTAAGAACGTTCTATAAACCTATTGGAACACTTTTAGATGGGACGTTTTTGGTTTGATCCTATAAACTTAAGTCCTATAAAGTATTTCTTTTAGGACGCTTCTACATTTTAGACGTTATATAAACTTAAGTCCTATAAAGTATTTCTTATGAGATTAGTCGAACTATGCGCAATTGGATGTGAATTATGAGTTGATGAAAAATGGGATTTGCTTATGAACTTGTGCAGATGCAGTTAGGGGTAAGGAACTAAACTGGGCAAAAAGATTTGATATTATTGTTGGGACAGCAGAAGGTTTGGCCTACCTTCATGAAAACAGTAAAACAAGAATCATTCACAGGGACATAAAAGCTGCTAATATCTTGTTGGATTCGAAGCTTCGTGCCAAGATTGCTGATTTCGGGTTAGCCAGGTCTTTTCAACAAGATAAGAACCATATCAGCACCGGGATTGCTGGAACACTGTAAGCACGTCGATCAGGTGTACTTTTTTAATTGTATTTTTTCGAACATAGGGTCAGATTCAGACACGATAGCGTTGTTGTATCACTTTCAGTTCTCATAGGTTTTTTACTTCACTCATTTTGTTCTAATATTGCAGTGGATATATGGCTCCAGAATATATAAGTCATGGTCATCTAACTGAAAAGGCAGATGTATATAGTTTTGGTGTGCTTTTGCTTGAGGTGGTTACTGGAATGCAAAACAGAGGAACACAAACAGCTGAGTACACTCATAACTTGGTATCAATTGTAAGTATGATTTCCCTGCAAATACATCACCATACACTTGTTGGCAGCTTAATAAGATTATATGATTGTTTGGTAGTACCTTAATAATATAGAAAGTGGCTTATTCAGTAAGCTTCCAGGGAGAGCTTTATGTAGAAAGCTAAGTTTTTTCCGAACCTGTCATTTTCTATTAAGAAACATATTCCTTTCATCTATGAAAAAACCCTCCTACACAAAAACCTTCTCAATCCATACAGACAGATTAATCCACATAGAACAGAACGTACCCAATATATCCTACTAGTAAAAGGGTCTAGGAAGGGTATTGAAGCTTATATACTTTGAATGGTGATGAATAGGTGTGGAAGCATTTTAAGGAAGGGACAGTGGAGGAGGTTTTTGATCCAAACATGATGTTGAGTGATGATAATGTGAAGAAGGAAGTAGAAAAGGTGGTACAAATTGGACTGCTTTGCACCCAAGAAGTTCCATCACTTAGACCAACCATGTCTATGGCCCTGCAAATGTTATCCAAGAATATTCATCCCCTTCCTTTTCCTTCAAATCCTGCATTTTTACCCGAAAGCCCGAATGATTTTGGTTCAGTTCAAGCTTCCAGACGTAAGATAAGCATTCCGGCTTCAGTTCCTACGGTTTCCCTCACTTCTCTTGGTCCAAGGTAGCTACTGTATAAAACATGTAAACTAATCTTTCCATTCATTCAATATTTGATGTTTCTATTGTTATTCTACGTTCAAATATCAAGCATTCTGTGATTAAGATTGACTTGAGATAGAAGAAAGTTAGAAGGTTGAACATTGAAACAAGTCTAGGGGCGTAGAGTGCACACTTGTTGTATTTGCCACCTTAAACCTCAGATCACCTATAGCGGGGTCAAAGTGGGGGCGCAACGGGGTTCCAAGGGGCAGAGCCCCTGGGTGGTGGTATCCCTGTCTTATTGTGTCCAAGTATTTCACGAATATTTGTTGCTGATGAATACTTTTAGTTGTAACCATTTCCATAACCTCTCATAACTACTATATGAGTTACCTGTAAATGGTAGGGCAGAGCCCCTGGGTGGTGGTATCCCTGTCTTATTGTGTCCAAGTATTTCACGAATATTTGTTGCTGATGAATACTTTTAGTTGTAACCATTTCCATAACCTCTCATAACTACCATATGAGTTACCTGTAAATGGTAATTTATGTCTCGATATATATAGAGACATAACAGAAGGCAATCGCACGTCGAATACTCGAGTTTTCTGGCTTAAAAACGAGAGTGATTTCTTGGATTATATCGATACAGAGTTCATGAAACCTATGCTCTAAGGGTCGAAACCCAGAATCTCTAAACTCATTCCAAGAAAATATCCTAGTGATTGTAACCATGACACCCAAAATTCTAACAGTAACTTAAAAGTCTCCCGATTCTCTCGACCTTCCAAAGGAAAAAACCCGAAACTTGCTACAATTTTTAAACAAAATTTCAGCTTTTCCAAGAACCTCTTCCAACCTTGAGTAGAGATGCATATAACAACTCATTCCAAGCATCTGGTACACCAGGCAAACACCAATGGCTGCAATCTTGTGATTGTTCTGCGCCAATTTGTTGCTTTAGGGACAGGGACTTATACATCTTTCTGTAAACCGACGGGTGACCGTCTTTCCTGTAATCTGTAAGCCTGCTAATGTTGAGATATATTACAGGAGTCTTCATCACTCGCATCACATTGTCAAAAGCTCGCATCTTTGATGGATACTTGCTTAACTGACTTGTATTGAAGATGGGTTCGGTTTCTTTGTGACACTGCCCACCTGAATTCCACTGCCCTCCCCTGCAATCACATGCTTGCCAATTGGTGATCTAAATAACAGAAAAGGAAACAAAAACAACAACAAATATTCGACCTTTTTGGGCCCGATGACAAGTTGAAAGCCCCGAAAGCTTCAAAATCTTTCTGTGGGTCTTTCAAAGGAGGCTAATCATATGAGAACCACAAAAAGTTTCACATTGTGAAACGAATATATGCTAATCAATACCCCAAGTCTTAGCGTCAGATGAAAAAGATCATTGTGAAACAATATCTTTAAGGTAAAAGTTTTCACGATTCTCACAATATATGGAGCTCTCATTTGATTATTTCCCGTCTTTCCCATATGCGGTTTGTATAACTCGATTAACATACCTAAAATGAGTGACTGAATATCCTCTAAAGATAACTTGAGTTTTCTGGCTATCGATGTTTTTATCTACCCATTTAGCCCATGTCGAAAGAGCCCTGGTGTATGCATCAAGAGCCTTGAGTCTAGGGTAAACATGGTTGCCTTCTTGATAATAATCTTCCCTGTTAACATGCAGAAAAAAAAAAACGAGCAATATTAGCATTGCCAAATACTCCCTCCGTCCCAAAATAAATGCCGGCATTGAAAAAGACAGTTCTAAAAATGTGTAATTTACATTTTCTTTAATTATCTAAATATGACAATTTTACCTTAATAACATAGGAGGTAATGAATTTTCCATCTCATAATTAAGGGAAGAATTGAAAATTAAGCATCTAATATGTGGACAGTTATTTTGGGACAAACTAAGATAGAAATATGGAGACATATTTTGGGACGGAGGGAGTATAATGTTGGAATATTAGTCTCACCCTCGGGAAGTTTTCTCGTGAGTCCACCAATGTCCCGTGTTGAAGATCAGAACATCAGCATCTTGATACATTGAAGTCGTCCGGTCCATCAAATCCACTCTTAGCGTCTCAAAAGTACCATTTTCACCTTTGAAAGATGATTCTCTGACTAGAAACGGAGAACTCACAAAATCGATCGTACAGTCATAGTCCTATAAATATAAGCAAGGCTTGACTCATTAGGCAAATTCCAAAAGTAGTTTGACTTTTGAGGTCAAAAGAACAAAGGTTCAACCTCCAAATTGGTATGCCATCTTTTATAATCTTGATAAAAAAAATTGAGAACCCATTAAAGTTAGAAATGAAACAATTAAAAGAAAAAAAAATTGGCGCTAAAATCCATGAGATATGCATACCAAATTTGAACTTGAATGCTACTAGATTTGAACCCAAAAGTCAAAAGTGTGGAGTATTAGACATGGGTGGGAAAGTTTGCCTCGAATCTGAAGGCGTAAAAACCCTTTTTCTTGAATTCCCTCTTTCCTGAAATCTCGTAAACCCTTTTCTTGTTCTTGAGAGAATGTTGTAGTATGCAAACAAGTGATTCCCACATGTTCCTATTTAAAGAGTCTCCAACAAATACCAATTTCTTCCCTCTAAGTCTTTCCAAAAAGTCCGTTGCGTTCAAACTGGAAAAAAGAACATTAACAGATATTAAGTAAGAACAACACTCATAAATTGATCACATAACCACTAATCACAGCTTTAAGAGGGTAATTATCCACTTTCGTGTATTTCAAGTTCCAACTTATAGCAAACATACTCTTAAAATTCCTAAAAGATTCGATGTTCGCCAATTGTGAGTCAAAATCAAATTGTTTGCAAAATTGATATCACTTCTTTTAGCGTAAAGATTTGTAAACTAGTTATGGGATACTCATCTTTTATCCATTTTAATTTAGATTTCAGATAAATCTATGCTTAAGCTTTTAGGGTCCGTTCTTGACAAAATCTTTTTGAGGGATTTGGATTTCGTGAAAGGATTTGGAATCTTTGGTGTGTTTGGTTTGTAAGATTTGGAGTGGAATTGAATTGAATTACGCTGTTTATAAATAATTTATAAAAATAATCTAATTACCGTCTATTTAATTGATTATTACAAAACAAGTGTTTTTTTGTTAACATTACTACAAACTCTATGAAATCTCGCAAAATACCAACTACTCCATGGGATTTAAATCCCATGTTTGTGAGATTTCAATCTCGGACTTTCCTTTAAACCAAACGTGGGATTGGAATGAAATTCAATTCCAAATCGCGCCGATATCCCATGAAATCCCACAAACCGAACGGGCCTTTTTAGAATTTTGACAAACCATGTTGTATGTTTAGCTGGGGTTTTACGATCTTCTTTATTAGCCACATAGAATTATCCGAGAAAAACACAGATTACATAATTAGACTAAATAATCAAAGTCAAACAAATAGCTAATTGAACCAGAACTACCATAAAGAAGCCAGCAAATTAGCATGGAAGATCCAGTTTTTTAAGCATTTGAGAACAAATTAATCATGTCATTGAAAAGCAGACAAAAGAATTATGATCATCACCTTGGGATCTCACATCCAAATGGCTGCCACCTCCATTTTACAAACTCATCATCAGGCCTTCCATTAAGATGACAGTTGAGATCTCTGTCTACATAAGGACATGAACCTGGTGGATAATATGGTTTTGTATCATCTTTCACCCATCTTCCATCAAAGATATCACAATCTTTGAAAGAGCTACTATAGTTCCCCAATATTTGAGAAATTGTAGCATGATCTGTGTCTGCAAAACCCCCTTTGTTTGAAAAGCCATCAAGATTTAGATCTAAACCATCCGATTCAACACTCCGATTGGACCCATTGCCACTCTTTTCACCAATTGTCACTTTCCCTTCATTAGGCTTCGCAATAATTGCAGTAAAGGTTGCATTTTCCACATCATCTTTAAGTTTTGCCAAATGGGTATCTTCGAAATCAATACCTTTCTCAGAAATCCCATTAAAGCTTCCGTTTTTACCATCAAAATCACCCAAGAACTTCAAACTAATATCCATATTGGAACCATTTGATTCAGCAATGTTCTCACTGATCAAAATTGTAGGGTTTTGTTCTACTTGTGTGGCATTTTCTACAAAAATTGCTCTTGTTGAAGAAGAAGAAGTGGAATTAGAAGAGGATGTTCTACTAAAAGAAAAAGACCAAGAAATAAGAGAACTATTGTTCCTGATATTGAACCCTTGGAAGAAAAGTTGGTTTGGAGTGGGATTTTTGAAAGAAAATTTCGAAAATAACACAAATAAATAAATGAAAAATGAAACAAACCCTAACCCAAATCCAAAAACAACCTTCTTTCTTGAAGATGCACAATTTGGGAAGTGATCAGAGATTGCAAAAAGTTTCTTTAGATTCATAATCATGGCTATGACAACAAGAACACCATTAACAATTGAAAGTGGTTTCAAGAAACACACAGTATGAGTATGACAAATGTTTGTGTGTGAATAATCAAGAAAAAAGAATAAAGTTAATCAAAGATTCCAAGGGTGATGATGATGATGTTGTTGTCAAAATCGATAGGGTGTTTGTACAGAGTTGTGTGTTTGTGAAGGTTTTCATGGAGACAATTTGCAGGGTGCAGGAGCAGAGATAGGCTGCAAAATGCATGCGAAAAAGAGAGGGAGGATTAAAATTACAACAGTACCCCAAGGCCCAAGGTAAGATAGATACATACAAAGAAAATAAGCTGCATAACTGCTTTCAAAGGATCCAAAATGGCTTTTAATATAACGTTTCAAAATAACATGCAGAGTTAAATGCAAATTTCGTGGTTTGACCATCAAGGTCTTTACAAAAAGAAGATTACGAAACAGTTCTTCATAATTTCAATCTCTTTTAACAAATTGGATCCCTGGATGTCGGTTAAATGATCCATTAGATTACATGTATTTTATTCTTTTAAAATTAAAATGTATTTTATTATATTGTACGATTATTTTTCTAATCTTCTAAATAAAACTCATAAAGCGGTCATAATTGATTTTTAAGATAAAAATAAATTGATATAATTTTATGCAATTTGTTTGGTTTTTTAAACGGAAAGAATGGAAACCAAAATGAGGGGGCGTTTTGGTAATTACGATGACGAAATCGATGACACGTGGATGGTAGCGTTATGGAGGTACACAGATTTTACTATTGTGCGCATGGAGTTTCGCACGCCACACCGTCACATCTCACATGCTTTGTCTCAGGGGAGGGGAGGGGATGCGATCAATCAACTCAATTCCACCGACTGCTTCCGTGCACCCCTTTTCTTACTTCATCACATATTGCTTACAACCCCTTCAACTATCGTATACATTACATTTCTTTCCCCTAAAAGTTCAAAAGTTGCACATCTTATCCATCAAAAAATAATTTTGTCAAACGGCTCCCCCATACCTTGAAAATAATTCATACCACCAACTAGAGATGGCCAAAAACCGGTCTCGGACCGGTCCCAATCGGTCATCACC